AACCTTTATAACTTAGAGACGCATCACTCCAATTAAGAAATATTTTACCATTCAACTATATACTTCTTGTAGAATCAGTACTGAAAGTATTGCCGAAGGGTTCATATGCACTTTAAATACTTACTCTTGCAGCTTCAAGGTGAATCTGATGGTCTTCTTTAGTAACTACTTGTGTTCTCTCTGTCCAGTTTTCTAGTTCGTCAAGACTGCGAATCTCCTCCCACGTGTCTAGCTGTGACTGCGTCAACTCTACCTTGTAACAGGCAGGACGGTAATGGACTGGAGTATTCTTGAAAGTAACCTGATCAATATAGAAACATCATGAAATAACTGTTATAAAATTCCTATTATGATTGGCAGAAGGTGCATGCTTTATGTACAGTAACAATTATTCACCCAAGGCAAAGTGAATATCGGGGAATATTTACCGAGACATGAGTCTTGGAGCTGCAAGATAAATATTCTCCAATATTCACTGAGGCTGAGGCAGATAATTGTTTTAGCATAAATACACAGGTGGTTCTTTCAAAAAAAGAAAAACAAGATAAAAGACATTTTTTCTGGTAACAGCAACAAAGTGGCTGGCTGCCATTTTGGATTATCACTGGAGTTGAATATGGTGTGATAGTGTGAGTTTCTGGACCTGTGCATTTTTACTAAAAGGGTATACAGCATCAGTTTATGCTCTGCCTATTTTGTCATCCAAAAGAATGGGTTTCAGTAGTTATATATCATTTCAAGGCTTAAAATAAATTCTGGTCATTGAACAAAGTTAAACCGGAATATAAATTTGTCCAGTCAAATATTTCCCTTGTCCAGTAACGTTGAGCCAAAAACAAGTTTTGGTCAGTCATCATGACAGGCGACTGAACAGCTGTCATCTCAAGGCTTGCATTCAACTGAAACCTACACATCTTACATGATGAACACATTCTAAGACATCTGGTTATTTGGATTTTGTTAATCAAGAATTCTAACTTAAATAGATGACAGGGCAGAAAAATAGGTTGTTCTTGCAACGTCTATGCGTTAATAAGCTTTATATTCCATAAACAGGCTCTTTTGGGGCTGGTTAACAAAATACCAAAATTTGGTGAAATTCAAAGAATGCGTATTTGAGATATAACGCCCTGAAAGTTGGGAGAGATGATATTTTGATCAGCACAAAAACTAACATTTTCACTAATACCTCAAAGTAGAATTGCTCAAGGTTAGCAGAATTTTGTGAAAAGAGCGCAAGAGACACAAATGGAACGCTAAATGTTTTTTAGCATGAATGAGAGATCAAGAAAAAAATTGTGAAAGTAGCAGCCTTGTCGTTTTTCTGCTCTGTCTAGATGGATGTAAAATTTACAAAGTCCAAAAAACAAGATGTATCTCAGATTTTATCTGTGTCCCATAATTAGAAAAACAGGTGGGAATTGCAAGTCGGCGTATGGTTACAGTTGGAATAGCCATTGCATACTTTATTCCAACAAGATATAGAAAGTGAAATCTTTCAGTTTTAAAGATAATGGATTAATGATCTATCAAAATTAATATAATAACATGTGGAATTTTATAATTCTTTTTCTTCTTGTCTTTTCTATTTACGTGCAAAGTCGTAATGATCTGAATAACAAATTTAGTCATCTTATACTAATTAATTAATAAAATAACCTACAAAAATACATAAGCTTACAGAGTATAAGGCTTCGGTGTGGTAAACTATTTTTGAACCAATTACTATTTCTAAGTAACCTTATCCGATTTTAACTCAAGCTGATTAACAAAAATATATAAATTGGTCTTTAACTAATGTATATATGAAATAAAAATACAATCTCCAGTCATAACGGACTGAATATTGATAGGAAAAAAGATTTCTTATTTTTACCCCAAAAAATTGATTTAGTCGATGACGTAAATCATTAGCAAGCATCTTTGAATTTAACTTCAAAAAAGAATATTACGAGTCTACGTACTCAAAATATCCCTCAGAGAACATAATAAAAGTCTTATGAGTGTTTTCTGTAAATATATTTTAAACTAAAGCACATATTTTGACGAGAAATCTTAGACTCGTGGGCCTAATTTGTCATGTTTATGCTTGACGTTAATTATATTGTAGCATCTGCAAATTGATAATAAAGGGAAGTACTAGCCTCCTGAAGTCCTGTTGAGATTGTTATTTGTTGATATTCTATGATAAAAATTGAATATTTTTCGTAGGAGCGTGAAAACTTACTTTTGGCGGTTTTTGTGGGGTCAACTGTTGCACCGACGAGACGTTCTCTCTCTGAGAAGGTTTCAAAATAGAACTCTTCGTAGTCGTCTTGCCTTCTTTAGCAAACTCATTGGGAATATTCACGTTCTCTTTCTCTTCCAAAAGGCTACTTGACATCCTAAAATAGGAGAATTTATCGTTAGACGAGTTTAAAAAAGGCGAGGCGCATTCAAATTACGGTTTACAATCAATTCAAACTTTGTACCATTTCAGTGACCGTTAAAAGCCATTTTTTGTTTAACCGCGCCCGCGAACACTCAGCGGGACTCGCCTATTTGTACATGCCTTATAATACCCAGAATTCCTTGAAACAATTGGAAAAATCTAGACTTGGGAATAAACGAAATGACGAACTGCGGAGATTTTACTTTGCTAAGGAATTTTTAGTTGGAACTTTTGCTTTTCAAACTGTAGTTTGATTTATTTTTGTTTAGTATAAAGTCATGCAGGAGGAACAAAGCTTATATGAATAGGCATGAAGTCGGTTGAAAAACGTTGGATAGAATATTTATATTTAAAAACCGGCACTCATGAGAGAAACTCATGAAGTTGCCCTGAATATTCGAGAACCTTTTTCGTATCAGGATATCATAAACTGAAGAGAAATAGCACATCTGTGAATGTAATAAATGACTCACATTTTTTTTGCGGCCCGATATTTGCATCCCAAAGCTCAAAAACAAAATAGTGTACTATCTATTGAAAAATGTCAAACTAGTTTATCGTCATGAAATTCTTTAGAAATGACTTGACAAGCTATGAACTTACCCGAACCACATTTGAAATTCAAACTCGATCACGATTTTAACGCCAAGAATGAGGAACGATAAACAAACAAACCATACAGGTATAAGAAGAGCGTCCATATGTAGCGTTCAATGCAAGTAAAAGCCAAGGATATCAATAAACAGTATCTCTGGAGTCTCACTGACTAGTTTCTCACATACACAAACTGACGAAAATTCAATATGCATATAATTAGCTCGACAGTATCTTATCTGCATAAATTACCTATGGAGTGCGATCAGCACGGGAAAATGTAACAATTCAAATTCCTTGTGAGTTTTTGGGTAAGAAAAAGTGCGCGTGCTTCTTCGCTTCTGAAACTAAGCGGGATCATGCTAGCTAGTGGTATTCAAGATGGCTGTCAGTCCCATTTGAGACCCCGTCCGCATACAGAGTTTTGAACACGGATTTTTTCCTAATGTAAAAATATAGACGGATGATGATCAAACAAATGAATAAAAGTGATTGAGCACGGTCATTCGTATGAAAAATGACCACAAGTTTAGGGAAGTAGGCAAGTGAGAGGAGCCAACGGGGCCAGGCCCATGCCCCCTCCTTCGTGGCAACAAAATGGCGGCTCTTTAGGAAGATCGCGGTGATTAAATTTATTTTTTTTAATTAATGGTACTTGTTAAAGAAATTGCATTTCTTTTCTTATTGTAAAAGAGGCGTAAAACGAAATAAGGTTCAAAGATTCAAAGGTTCTTATTTACCACAAAATACATAATACGCATAAATTACAATAAGAAAAAATGGAAAGGTGGAGGGTGCAAGAGAGACAACCCAAGAGGGTTAAACAAGGTACTCTTGCACCCAGGACTAATAAACAAATTTGATAGTATGAAGCGTGGAGATTGCATAGACCAATCAAGCTCTATTAATAATTAGATCTTATTAACCGAGCGGGACGTCTGTACGGGATAATCTTGACCGAGGTCTGTACCCGACCGAGGTCAAGATTATCCCGTACAGACCGACCAAGCTCGGTCGATAAGAGTTTTATTATATGACCACTTTTCATTGAAAAGACAAAATGTTTTCGCCGTAAGATTAATATGCGATCGGACCGGTTAATACCGGAGAACCTAGACCAGTCCGCGATGCGATCTATCCAATCAGATTGCTCGATTTGCTAGTGTCCAGGCTCTAAGATTCACGGTCATATAATAAAAGATGATATTAATTTTTTGAAAATGTTTTCAATATTGATACATAAATACATACATACTATATAACAAGTTTACAATTAAAAGAAATTTTGGGTTATATATACGAGGAAAGAGTGAGAAAGGTTTTCGTTTTTTTTCTTAAAAACACTAAGGGATGAAGAATTTTTAATTTCTAGTGGAATGTCATTGCAGTCATTACTAACCGTGCTGCATACTGCACACCGAACCAGGGCCGTAAGTAGGGGGGGAGCACAGGGTGCACGTGCACCCCACCCCCCCTCCCCCATAAAAGCTTAAAGTCCGCTAATCCATCTCTTTTTTTTTTTTGGTTCTGCTTTATTTTGGTTACCTTTTTTTCTTTTTGGTTCTGCAAATTATTGCCTGCAAGATCCTTAGTTACGCCACTGAGTTGGTAATAAAAAAACGATCAACGGTCCGATTTTATTCGATGTGCTCCCTCCCTGTGAAAGTTCTGGTTACGGCCCTGCAAACTGACCATAATTTAAATTTTTTCGAGGAAGAAAAAGATTTTTGTTAGTTTTTGATCTCGTATTGTGCGTATCTCATGTGAAAAATGTACATCATTAAAGAAATTAGATGATATACTTGGTAATAGATTATTTATAAATGTCTGTAGGTCAATTCAACGAACTGTAATTTTACTACTTCAAAGATGTTTAATACATGGCTATTTATTTCTTTTTGATCGGAGTAACAGGGACGCAGACAAAATGAAAAAGCTAGAAAACACTGAGGCTTCTATCTGTCACAAATGTTTATTTTTGCTTTTGAAGAAAGTTTGCATGATAAGATTTGTACTCCGTGCATTTTTTTTTCGTTTTGTATTATATCAATACATGCATTGAACCCGACTGCTGCATAATAAGCGGAAGAAGAAGCGGAATCATTTAATTAGTATGAGTTTGGTGATTCCATATTTCCTCTTATATATGATCTAATAGATAAATAAATAAACAATAAATAATTTTGATATTTTATTTCATGTTATCCGTAAACCTTTTTTGCCAGTTATCCCTTGCCTCTATGATTAAAACCATTATTCTTATGACATGTACAGTAGCAAAATCCCCATCCAGCTGTTTGAAATAAAGCTTCATAATTAAGGGTATTTCTGTTAATATTTAACAATGGTACATATACGAAACGGCTAACAAAGTCAATCATTAACGTTCATTAGCACCTGTTATACTTTGATCAATACCAGGTCAAAAGATCCGTTTTTTTCCGACGCGTCTAACGGATTTGTAGAAATGCCGCATCGTGGGACAGTGTTTCTTCGAGGAATTCTTCATCAGTCAGTTGATATTTTATGCAACTAGAAACGAAATAAATTTTAAAATTAAGACAAAAATTAAAGTTTCGCCATAACGCCATAATAAAGCGTCCTCTAAAAAATCCCCATGATGCAAAGCGTTCTGCAACTCCAGAAAGTCTAATAATCCTTTACTTGATTACGCAATTCTTGTGATGTCATTCGTATCGGTTTGTGTTTTCCCACGCAATGAAATACGTAGGACTCTTATTCTCAAGCTGTTTATGAGATGGACTTACATATGAACTTTATACCTGGTGAGAATAAGGCATCTTAATCTATCGAGTCAAATATGGAAACATTTCTTACCGCTTTTAGAAGCCTTGTTTCCTTGATGCTTATGATTTGGACACTGTCAACGCTACTCAAATCAGAAGGTAACTATAAGTTTAGAAAAGTTAAATTTATTTTCGTTTCACAAGGAAGACTTTTTTTAGGGTCGTTGGTCGAAATTTTTGTGAAGGAACGCCTCAAATTAAACGTTACTATGGTTTTCTGTATTCTGCGAACTCAGAAGTCGTGAGCTGCACGCTGAAATCTGGTTTTTCGCTGCTGTCAGTCAAAAATAAGCAGTCAGTACATTTTCTGTTCTTGACTGGCAGAAGTGAAAAACCCATTTCACAACAAGGAATGTCTGAGTTTGCAGAATATTGAAAATCGTATAACAAGTGGCGTCGAACGAGCTAAGTAGGAACTTGTTTTGTAGGAACTTGAATTTGATTAAGAAATCAGCCGGTTGCATTATGAACTTCATAGCAGTTTTAAATAATGTTTCCATAGGAAATGCAAGATAATAAGAAAATACAATATCTGTTTATTTAAGTTTGATGTAAACTTTTTTTAAATCTTCTTTTGACGTAAATTGCTTGCCTCATTGAAGCCCAACATCCCAAACACTGTAAATTGAAAACACGGTTTAATTTAGGGATTAAATACGAAATGCTCAGAAAGATAAAGTGCAAATGAGTCTTTAGATAATATTGCTAAATTTGATTCTTTATATAGTAAATATTTAATTGTGAAAATATTTCGTCATTTGAGTGTCGACGGGTCTTTAACTGATAAAGGTTTTTTTCCCAATATGTAAATGACTATGCGGTTAATTAACCACTTGCATTCTAATTACTTGTCACATAAATGGTCAATGATATTCTTCTGTTCCCCTTTAATTAGAGAAAGTTGCTGCAAAATTTGTCAGTCCTTGTCATTGTTCTTACAGTTCCTTTGTTTACTTTAAAACCGTTAGATCAGTACATTTACTTTGCTTGTTTGTTTTATAATTTTGCTTTTGTTAAAATGTTTGTATCACTGATATAAGTCACAGATCAAACGTCGAACTTCACATGAGCCAAACCTAATTCAAGCAATGGATAACAACGTGGTCTTCTTGGAAGTCATTAGGTTCGGCTTATATGAGGTTTGATCTTTGACCTTGTTCTAAGATGCTTGCTGACTGGATGGGCTGGTGGTCGGTCGGTCGGTCGGTTGGTCGGTCGGTCGGTTGGTCGGTCTGTAGACTGCTTGGTTTCAGGAATTTTTGGTTGGTTAGTTTGATCGTATTGGTTTTTATAGGACGTTTGCATGATGGCATCATTTGACTCCCACTACCAAGATGCTTCGCGAATTTTCTTTCTTATTTAAATTTGTATTCCCTCATGAGAATAGTAAGACAATTGGTGCTAATTAACTGAACAAAAGAAAGTGTGCAAGGGAGTCTGGTAGTAGAGGTCAATGACGCCATCATGCAAACGTCCTATTGGTGTATGTAACGGTTAGTTGGTCGGTTGCCTCGTTAATTTGCTTAGATCTTCTTTTTGATATTTTGATAGAATTGTGTACGTACTTGCACTTGACTCTTTTCTCAAAACCATCTTTTCTTTTCTTTTTTGTAGCTGGAAGTTGTCGCACACTAAGGATTAAGTATGTCTTCGATGGAAAGGCCCTTGCCAATCATACTATCCGTACTATCCAACCAATTGCTGATGCCCATACATGTGGAACAGAATGCTATTTGGAGTCGTTGTGCTTTTCTTACAACTTTTGTCAAAGACCAAATGAGGCGCCTCGTTGTGAACTGTCTCAATTTGAGCACATTCGCAAAAACAGCCACTTGATAACGAAGCCAGGATGTACATACTACGGTGCAATCGTAAGTTTTGGCGGGAAAACTGGTGGGCGCTTGCGCGCGACCACGCGGATGCGATTTGTAAACCGCTTTGGGTTGTAGTGGCTCATTCGCTCCAGTACTTGCCGGGCGTGGGCCATAAAGAGGCCAGACTAAGAAGCACTGGGGCGACAGAACTTCCGAAACCTACGTCATTTCTAAATCTGAGAATTCAATTAATCTAATAAGTATTATTCTTGAATTAAGTTATTGATTGACTTGGTAATAGAAACTGGTCAGCTAGGGCATGACTGAACAAATCAACCTTGAATCATAATCAGCATATTTTATAATATAATTTTGGAAAAACAATTTTCTCGCTTTTTAAATTAATTATTCCCACAAAATCCTTATTGTCTAAACTGATATAAACCAACTCTTATCCTCAACATGGCTTCCGCATGGAATATGCCCCAGCAACGCAGAAAACAATATCTTTACAATCATTTTCTTTTTCGTTCTTTGCTTTTAGTCTTTTTGCGCTGCCCATAAACCCTGCCGCAACGGTGCCACATGTCTTGGAGACTTCCTTAGACAAAATATCAAGTATAAATGCATTTGTCGCGATGGTTACCATGGTCAACAATGCCAACATGATATAAATGAATGCAGCACTCAAAAGCACAACTGTCACAAAAATGCACTCTGCGTCAATATTGCCGGTGGATTTGAATGCAAATGCAAAAACAATTACCATGGCAACGGCACACATTGTGAAGGTAAGTATTGTTTTGCTGACGACCACGTGACTAATCGAGATATTTTCGAGGAGAAATTTCTGGTTTCCGGTGATGGACTCGGAGAATATTTTAACTTGTAATTAAGGAAACGCCTAGTCGAAAAATTCAAACGATAATAAAAACCCTAACAAGCACAAACGAAGCAAAAGCCAAAATAGTTCGATTAACTAGCTTTTCCCATTCTCCGACGAAACTCTAACGTGCGAAACGTTACAAACATTTTCACACAATGCTTAAGTTTCCTTATTATTCACTTGTTTTATACACCCTTTGCCGCACTACGTTGGAATGCAGCTCAATTTGGAGGACATAATTACAATATGTTTCCGATTCTCAGGAGATTGATTTTTTTTTTTTTTTGCTTTATCCTCCGCTCTTTGACGTCACATGCAAGGGGTCTATTGAACATACCATCGCAGTCCGCATCAGTAACCGCTAGACATTATCAATAGACCATTTCACGGATTCCGTTACTCAACCGCAGCCTCGTCAGCGTATAATATATTCTTTAGAAATTGCCTACAACCTGTGAAATTTTTAAGCGTTTCAATTGTTCGTTGATGTGTAAATTGCTTTCATTACTGCGGACTGTAGGCAAATTCTAAAGAATAATTACACGCTGACGAGGCTGAGGTTGAGTAACGGGATCCGTGAAATGGCCTATTATCAATTACCTTCGGTTATCTTAATATCTGGCTATCAAGTCTATAAATGTTGCTAAAGATGGCCGATCAAATCCACTTGGGCATAATGTTTTCCCATTTCAGACCACATGTCATTCTCTTGAGAATAAGATTCTTTGTTTGAGTTGTATCCATATTCATGTGTCTTCTCTTTTTAATTTGTTATATATGAGGCATTTGTTCAGTTGATCAGTTGTGATATCATGATTTAATATCAACAGACATTAACGAGTGCACTTTACCTGTACCGCCCTGTCACGTGAATGCCACGTGTAATAACACTATTGGTGGATACGTTTGCAAGTGTAAAGCTGGGTTCACTGGAAACGGGAAAGACTGTAAAGGTACGATTCACGACTTTCTCGAGGAATAGACCTTATACCAGTGTGTGCACCTCATACTAACCACCTCTTAAATCCAGCTAATGTTATACCGTCTCGTTATTTAGATATCAATGAATGCTTACCTAAACCTTACGTATGTGGCAAGGTTAATGTAACATGCAGCATTAGTTCAAAAACTGTTAGTCGAAAAACAAATTGCAGACCAAAGAATTCTACAAGTGGAATAAACTCTACCGAAAGCGCAGTGCACGGAAATCAGAGCAATGTGACCGGTGCGTTGAACTGCACGGGATGTACAATGCACGGCAATCACAGCATAGCGACTGGTGTATTGAACTGCACGGGATGTACAATGCACGGAAATTACGGCAATGCTACCGATACGTTGAACTGCACGGAATGTACAATGCACGGCAGTCACAGCAATACGACTGGTGCATTCAACTGCACGGGATGTACAATGCACGGCAATCACAGCATAGCGACTGTTGTATCGAACTGCACGGAATGTACGATGCACGGAAATTACGGCAATGCTACCGGTACGTTGAACTGCAAGGAATGTACRATGCACGGCAATCACAAAAATGCGACCGGTATTTTGGAGCATGCGCAAGATGGTCTTAGAAACTCCAGTCAAAATAAAACAAATGGTGGTGAGGATAGAGGAGGAGGAGGAAGAGGAATGCGACATTGAAGAAAGCATCGTCAACATCAACGATACGTCCAGCAAAATGTGTGAAGGTATTGAGTGTCTATATATCAGGCAAGGTGACGTAATTTGCATGACGTCATACTGTAAACGGAAGTTTTTTTAGCACATTCTCTTGCAAATCCAAGCTGAAAAACCAAGATGATCACCGAAATATCCTGAATTACAATAATTAAAAAAAAAAATTTCATTTGGTTATTAATTTCTTACTACAACTGTTCGAATTAATTTATTTAAAAGTTAAACTTATGACGCCAATAGATGCTTTGCACCATCACGTGATGGCAGCCATGACAGGAGGCAGAACAATAGTCTTTTCCCACTGGATAACTGAATTAAAGTTTCTCATATAAATTAGATGAGGCCAGATTCTATTGTTGTGCCTCCTGTCATGGCTGCCATCACGTGATGGTACAAAACCTCTATTGGCGTTGTGCCATCATACCTAACATGAAGTTATATCACCATATGACGTCACAACAAATGTATCATGACGTCATGATTTTGACATTCATTTTATTTTGAATACAACTTCAGTGCCTAATAAACTATCTAAGCAAACGTACCTACAATAACATTATACTATTTGGTGATATGTTGCAGAAGACAAGACATGTTTGATGTTTTCCCATGGTTGTCACGTGCAGGCTTCATGTTCTAATGACATTGGTAGTTACCATTGCAAATGCAACGCCGGTTTCCAAGGCAACGGAAAGAATTGCACAGGTAAGCCTGAAAATAAGCAAGTTAGGATAACTTTGAGCCAAGGTTGCTTGGTGGTCGGCGGCTTCCCGAAGAAGAGAGGGGTCTCTCTTGCCTCTCCCACGGCATTCTCTTCTTTGCGCAACCACCATGCCTCAGACCACCGAGCTTCCTCAAATTTCTGCTTTCTTCTCATCAGATATCAACGAATGTGCCTCTAGTATCAGCGTTTGCCATAACAATGCATCGTGTTTAAATACATTTGGCGGCTACAACTGCACATGCTTGAACGGTTTCCAAGGAAACGGCACTTTCTGTGAAGGTGAATTATTATAGGTTCTAAATGTCCACGGCCATGTCAGACTCAATAGTTCCTTTCACAGTTCCCTGCGCCATCTTGAAAGGTAGCCGTGCCTTTAAATCGAAGCGAGACGAAAGGTGAGCTTGCAATGATAGAGACCTTTTTTAACACCTTGGACAATTATTCACATTATTCTCGCTTCGATGCAAAGGCACAGCTAAATTTCAAGATGGCTCAGGCAACTGCGAAAGGGCCTATTCGTTTAGAAAAATCGTTACATTTGAGTGTTTGTCATACCTTTATTTATACGAAGCTCTTTTTTGCCAACCTGCTTTTCTCTCGAAACAATCAATGAATTTCCATCCAATACTCTATTAACCAGCTGAAATGGCACACGTTACGTGCAATACGTGCAATACGTTAAGTGTGCACATTTTGGTGCACAATCGACACATTTTTGGATCGGACTGCAACCACGTGACCACAAAATCCCTGGAGATGTAATGAAACAGCCGCCATCTTGGTTGATTCAACAATAAAAGTTGAATATATAAGAAATGCTTTGTATAGACAACCAACATGGCGGCTATGACGTAACATGATCCCCAAGAATACCATCTGTCTCACTCAACATGCACTAATGAAATAATTGGATGCCATTTTTCAAGACATTGACGAATGTAATTCTGACAACCACGGTTGCCATGTGAACGCCACGTGCAGTAACACTATTGGTGGACACACCTGCGCGTGTCAAGATGGTTTCCATGGAAATGGCACACAGTGCTATGGTAAGTGTGAAAATATTGGTGTATACACAATACACAACACCGTCATAAATGATAGCGATTTTTAATGAATGGACATTTTTTTGGTATTTTTAAATTTTCAAGACATTGACGAATGTAATGTTGACAAGCACGACTGTCACGTGAACGCCACGTGTAAAAACACTATTGGTGGACACATGTGCAAGTGTAAGGATGGTTTCCATGGCAATGGCACACAATGCAACGGTGAGCATTAACGTTCAATAATCAAATCTTAATTCAAAGTGATAGGCAATGTTGAACTTTTTTACACACTATTTTTTCAAGATATCGACGAATGTGCGGGCAATATTTACAGTTGCCATGCCAACGCATCATGTAGCAACACCGCTGGTGGGTACGATTGCATGTGCAAGCCAGGTTTCCAGGGCAACGAAACGTTCTGTGAAGGTAAAAGGAATCTAACACCACACGATATTACAAGATTAATCATGCAATATTACATATATATCATACATTACTAATTATTTTTTTACAGATATCAACGAATGTCTTACCAATACTCACGACTGTCACGTGAACGCATCGTGCAATAACACCATTGGTGGATATCAATGCCTATGCAAATCATTTCTCTATGGTAACGGCACCTTTTGTCGCGGTATGTATGTTTCTATATCATGTGCTTGCCTCCTGGACTCGTTTGTGTTGTTTGTGATCTTCTAGCCTCCATGCTAAATAAACCGAACAACATCGTCTATCGTTATTTCATTTTCTCATTTGTAGCTAATTTTTATTCCATCTTAATCTAAAGAACTATTTCCATTTTCAAACAGAGCCCGAAACTTGCCATGAACTGGCCTCAAATATGCCCGAGTAAGTAGACAAAGCGATCCTATTTGCACAGCACATAGTCTGTTCCAGCCTTGAACAACTCTTAACTCTTAATTTATCAAACGACCTAACAAACTCTACTCACATAAAAATAAAAATAAAGAATAAATCACTTTATTTAAGTGTCTAGTCGTTCTAGCGCTTTCGCACTAATTGGGGACACTTTTCACTCACACGCACTACCACTACATTCAATATTTATGCACACAACGCTCAACTCACATGTTGATTTTTACGGAGGGAGGAAACCGGAGAACCCGGAGAAAACCCTTGTAGCATAGGAGAGAACAACACATCAAACAAACTCAATTCACATGTGGCGACCGTAGGGGTCGAACCAGCGACCCGACCCGTTGGACTCACAGCGGTGAAAGACGACGCGTTGGCCGCTAACGCCACCCATGCTACCCACAATGCAAAGTGATGGAATCGACCCCGAGACCCCAGAGGCGAGAGAGCAATACATTTCTGCTATGCCAGATTCCCTTTCCCAACTTCAGGGTAATCTAAACTCTTGTGAAATGTCCCGTATTAAGATATACATACCTTATTGTTTTCCTTAGTGAGGCCAAAAGTACACTGTACCAGATTAAACCCAAGGGGGTAGGATACAGTGTGTTTTGCATGATTTCAAATGTTGGCTGTGGGTCCGGTACATGGAAACTAGCAATGAAAATAGACAGCAAAATGGTAAGTATCGACATATTGCCCTATTTCACAATGATGTCACTGCTTGTTTATGTAGGGGATAGAATCGCCAAATCCAATTCAACAAAATTTGCTCCTAGCGAAACAGTTTAATCTAAAATGGCCTGGTTTTCAGACATAATATGTGTTAATATGCACTAAAAATATTCTGAGCGTTTGCTGGCTATTCTACTTCTCTTCGTGGATTGATACGGGTTTTAGAACAATTTTCGGTGAATTTGCGTTGATTTGACCCCCTCCGACGACCATGATCCTTTGCGTTTAAACAATAGATTGTTTTGATGTGACGTCATAGTGAAATAGGCCGGGCCATTGATTAGTGAAGGGACCGCCATTAACGTGGTCATCCCAGCCATGTGAAGGTCTAACCATTTGCAGATGTTGTTACAAAGGCAGCACCTTCACCTCAGTTATTTTAGGACCTTTAGTGTTGGTCCGGCCGAGGCTTGAATCACGACCTCCCCCATCCAATCCGAGCAACCCGACTCAATACCATCCTATACCACCTAACCCTTTGCAATCCTAAATCCTATCCAGCACAACACAATCCCATCCCATCCCAACCCAATCAAATCAAATCCCACCCAAAACCCTACCCGATCCCAACCAGCCCCACATAATACCACCCAATACCACCCAATCTCAATGGTGTCTGATCAATTGAGTAACTAAACTGCTCAGTTCTGATTTTAATCCGGCTGCGTGGTCCATACTATGAAGCAGGTCTTTTGAGATGACCGAGTTACTGGGCATATAGAAAAAGTATATCAATTACACGCCAAAACTTTTTCTTTTTCTTTTTCTTTTTGTTGTGTGTGTGTAATTTTAGCATACTTTTATTTACGACTCACCACTATGGACCAATACCGACTTATTCAAACCCGAAGCTGGCCTGACGGGACTCGATAATAATGAAACGAAAACGCAAGCTTACTGGGATGGCAGAGTGAGAAAGCTATGTTTAGGTATGAAGTTCAATGGAGTAATTCGGTGGAGGAGAATCACTTTCAGTACAAACACCTATTCATTATCATCATGGATGATGTATTCTTTGTATACCGGCGTTGGTTATGACTGGTGGAAAAGGTTGCTTCCTTCTACATCTGTACATAACCCGCGCTGTTCCAGGTATGTACTCAGTCTATAAAAAGATGTCCTAGGATAAAGATGACAATGATGATGACAAAAGTATGATAATAACTGTAATTAGGGGATTCGTTATCTATGACAACGACGATGATGAATCTACGTGATGGTGGTGATAAGATATGATGAGGTTACGCTATCATGATGCCACATGATGATGATGATGATGATGATGCATGATGATAATGCATGATGATAATGAATGATGATGATGATAATGATGATGACGATGATGAAGATGCTGCATGATGATGACATATGAAGATACATGATGAAGATACATGATGATGATGATGATGATGCATGATAATACATGATGATACATGATGATGATACATTATGATGATACATGATGATGATGATGATGCATGATAATGATGATACACGGATGATGATACATGATGATGATACATGATGATGATGCATGATGATGATACATGATGATGATACATGATGATGATACATGATGATGATACATG